ACGTCGGTTTATAGTTATGATTTTGTTTGCTACCCTCGATTTCTTCCGCCTATACCTCTTCGAGAAGTAACAGCTGGACGTAAAAGCGGGACACTCGTGTCCTTGCTGTAACTTCAACATTTACCTTATACTCGCAACCGTGTCTTCGGTAGAGTACAAGCAGTCCATCCTTTTCGAGTCCATCGCGCGTGTCCAAAAAAAGCAAATTGTGACTTGCTGGGAGTGAGGCGCCTCTCTCCCAGAGGGAAAGGGGGCATTACTCAGATAGGGGTCGGTTATCGAATCTAACTTTGTTTTCCTCGATAGTCACGTATGTGATTCCTAAATATCACTTAATGCAAACATAGTTTAAGTGTTGTTTTACCCTTAACACTTTGAATAGCCTGCAAAACTCGACATAAAGAAAGATAAGAAGGTAATGAATAAATGAATGAATTAGGATTGAATTAAATCGTAAGCTTTCCTTCCACACAATAACTGATATTTGTCGATCCTGACGTCTTTGGTTTCCTAGGGTCTTGTGTTTGTACATGGATCTATGATGCTGGAAGCAGCTACTAAGGATGAGCTTTGGACCATATTTGAGAGGGGCTCTGAAAACAGACACGTCTCTTCCACAAGTGAGAAAAAAATTTTAATTTTCCTTTGTTAGATTAACCCACCGATTCAAACGAAAACAGCCCTTTGACCACTGAGAGTGACTAACTTCTAATTTCTTTGTATAATACCACCCCTGAATCAAACATTAAGGTTACGAGAATCTTCTTCGTGCACCTTATCATCAACTATGTTCACCACACAACTGATATTTCTTTTTTTTTTCTTTTTTTTTTTTAAAGAAATGAATGCGGAGAGTTCTCGGTCTCACCTTATCCTCGGAATCATTATCGAGAGTACAAACTTAACTTCTGGTGCTGTGCTCAAAGGAAAAGTGAGTCTTCCTTAAGTCCCTCTGCATGTGTAATTTTTTTTTTCCCAATACGCTTGCCAATTTTTTCTGTGAAAAAGAAAGAGTTCTTATTTTTGTATCCTTATTACCCGAATTTCCCGTGCGTGACAGAGGGTTAATTGTGTGTCTTTAATTTTTAGATAAGCTTGGTTGATTTGGCCGGATCTGAACGTGCTGCAAAGACTGGTGCAAGCGCCGAGCAACTCAAGGTAGTTTTATAGAGAACCAGAAAAAATGTTCTACGATTGTTTTATGTATTTAATCTCTTAACGCATACGTTCCTTTACAACAAGATCTCTTTTCTTCTTTCTTTTTACCTTCCACTTGCTTAATCAAGTTTGATGTGTATCCTACAGGAAGCCCAATCGATTAACAAGAGTTTAAGTGCCTTGGGAGACGTAATCTCGGCTTTATCCAGCGAGCAGCAGTTTATTCCGTACAGAAATAACAAGCTTACCTTACTCATGCAGGATTCACTCGGTAAGAGGGCGAAAAAGATGCGAATGAATTTTGCCTTAGAAAGGGTAAGAACTGCGGGGTTCAGTTGTGAAACAGTCTCATTTTTGAACCAAAACGGATCGACTTATTGTCGTAATGTTCGATTTAGTGGCATTAAGCCAAAACTGATGTAAACACAACGGCCAATCATAGCCAAGGAATTATCACAAGGAGCCAATAAGAGTTCAGAGTAAAAACAAGCAACTTGCTTGAAGGGCGGGAAAACGCTTTGGTCATCTGATAGGTTGAGATAAAAGCCCCACTTTTCTTAATCACACAGCGAAGTAGAGCAAAACCAATCATGCCCCACTCTCCATACCCAAATGAAAATTGCGCTTCATCGTTTTCCTTGTTATTTTTTTCCCAGGTGGTAACGCAAAAACTCTTATGTTTGTGAACATATCACCAGCTGATTACAACACGGATGAAACTATCACATCTCTGACGTGAGCATATTAACTTAACCTTACATTGACAACTTGAAAGTGCAACATTTCTAAAGTATTTATCGTTTGTCTTACCAAGTATTCACCTCCGATGTATATGGGCACGTTGTTATTTCATATTGTTAGTCTTTCTGGGCGATAAGGTCAACTTCTTACTCTTCGCGTTATTAAACGACATGTCTTTGACAACGTTGGTAACTTGGTTTTTCCCTTCTAAATTGTTTTTAAACTTTTATTTTTCCTTCTTTATTTACAGGTATGCCTCTCGCGTTAAACTTATTACAAACGATGCTCAGAAAAACGCCGACAACAAAGAGATCAACAGATTGAAGGGGGTAAGTTTAGACTGATGTCACACTCTAGCTCGACTTCATTCGGTGCTCGCACACTTTCTTTCAATTTATTCATACCTATTATTATTATTTCAGATAATCGCAAAGTTGAAGAAAGGAGAAACTGTGGATGACGCTGAAGTGGAAGATTAATTCACTGGCTGCGTCATTTTAATCGTAGTTAAGAGGTATTATTTCCAAAGCGCATCTCGATTGAGTGTCGTAAAACGCAAACCATGGTAATCACAATGACCAATCAGAATTAAGGGACATATCAAAAGGAGCCAATGAGAACTCAAAGTAAGAACAAGTGAACCGCTTTAAGCGCGGGAAAACGCGGTTAACCAGGACGCGGTTGTTGTTAGTTTTGAATTGGAGTGGTTGATAAATAATATTCCGATATTTATTGCAATACTTCGTAAACTGGGTCCCCTGTTTTTCTTTACTACATACTTACTACGTTTTGCGTTTTTCACCTTCCAAGGAATTTCAAGACTAAAGGCTTCCCCGATGGATGGCAGCTGTTCTCGACGTTTTACGGAAAAAAAAAACTAGATTAACCTTGTTAGCCTTTGGTAGAGGCAGGCTCCTTGCGCCAAAAATGTTGTCGATAGCTTTTGTACAAATCGAGATATAAGTGATTTCTGAATATGCAGTATTTTTTTAAGAACTGTACATAGGGTTGTTTTTATTTAATATTTATTTTATTGGCTTTCGTCATGTGATGACGCCTTAGGTATTGTGAAGTACTGGCAACATTTTCAGTGTTCTGTTGGACGCAGTAGCGGAGACGTTGCTATTTGCTCATGTTAACCAACCTAGATTTACGAGTACATCATCTGTTCTCTATGTTTATTACGCATCATGTGATTGGCTGAATCTTATACGCATTTTGATTGATTATTGCTTTTGATTTGCCGGAGGACAACCGCAGAGATGACATCTCCATGAGCAACAATTTGCATTTTGCCGCGCTTCGTGTGCCAATTTTTTGTTCTTAGTACATTTTGCCTTCATCAGTGTGCTATTACTGACCAGGCGTTCATGGAAGAAATATCGAGATTTCTATGGAGGGGGGGGGGGGGAGGGGGAGGGAGGGGTAAACGGTTTGTGTTTTGAATCTTAACCTCTTTGAACCCTAAGATCCTTATATTTCTTGTGTTGTGTTATAACAATGAAGAACAGATGTACTCGAACATCAAGCTTGGGTCTCTTGTGCTCTCCTAAGTTCCCTACAGTATGTTAGAGGGACTAGTGTCCTGGGTACTTGATGTTGATCAGCGGCATAAGTTGCATCGTATTAGATTTACATCTTCTTAATTTTTTTGGAAATAAGACGGCAACTGAATAAAAAAAGATCTTTGTCTTATCTGATCAATCGCATAACTCTCTGCCATCTGTGATGGAAATTTAATGCACATCGAGATCAGAAGTATTCATTTCAGTATCACAAGGTGCGCCAAACCTCCAAGATTTATAATTTTATCCCTTTTTTGGGTGTCTTGCGCTGGAATTTCGTTCGCGTTTTTTCTACAGAAAGAGAAGTCTTCACCGTTTATCCATATTTTCTTCATCTAAATCCGGCTTGACTGACTAATGATTTAATTGTCAGATCTCAGTTCATACCCTCCCACGCACCACATTTTTATCATCTCAAACGAGGGTAACACATTTCAAATTTTTATCACAACTCAGTCCTGGTTATGTAGAATTTGCTGTTAAAGGTAGGATCCGAATTTTGTTCACTTGTGTGGGTTCCAAACAAACTCGGATGGCACGATAAACAAACACGTCAGAAATTTGTCCTTTGAGGTTATTTCACATATTAGTACAGTCATACTTTTATCATAAATGCCTTTTAAACACCATAAAGGTCAAGTGATTATAGTAATCTTTTAAATATTTATGGAAAGATATTTGAATATTTTGTTAACCAAGCAGATATTCATTGCACTAAAGCCGCCTGGCTTGTGATCATTTAAATAGCTTGCTATGAAAGCGTCACAGAAATAATTGCGTGACAAAACTATTATTGCGTGATCTTCAAAGACAGAGTTGTAGTTACAAATATTTCTGATTCCTTTTTCGTAAGCCGTTTTGAAGGGGGTAGCGAGATACATATTTCTAACCACAAAAGTGTGTATATTATATAATTATCTATTCGAAAATGTTTTGCTCGACCGTGTTGTTTCCTCTTGAAACGCCAGCGCTGAATTCATGTGGTTTTCTCCCTCGAATATTTTACTGTTATCTTATCCCACAGACAAAATCAGCTCCGTCTTAGGTCAATTGGATCGTAATTTTTTTCAAAACACATATCATCATCCATTAATGCGTGACAAAATCAGTCATCGCGTTACATCAGGAGTCTGAATTCTCCCGATGGTTCTCGAATTATTGCGAAGGTAGAAAACTTCTTTCCACGACTCCATTTTTAAAGATTATCGAATTCCACAACTTCTTGTTTCGAATACCTCTAATTTCCCGTTATTCAGGAAAACACAGTCGATCGATATTTCCGCTAACGAGTTCAAGAAATATTTTTTTGTTTACGAGTGCTGTAGGACTTTCAAAATGATCAAAAAGAAAATCGATTCTCATCTGTTCTCAACAACCTGAGAAACTGATAGAAAAAAAATCCGCTCATGGAGGATTTACAAGCGAGTTAAGCCGGTAAAATGTTGATCGCATAAAAATCCGTGATAATTTTATGCCGCAGGTAAGTCCCTCGCTCCATATATGGAATGGCACGCATCTGGCTTAGAATGTTGGGAATCTGGGCGTCAGTCGTTGTTCTGTGTTCAACAAAATCTTGTCATTCGAAGACTGCACACTGTTTCTTGTTTAATATCGGTTTTGGTCGAGTAGTTCCCAACAGACAAAATGGAGCAGATAAAGAAAAAGATGGCTGTTCTTCGTGACACTCTCGCTGATGCAGAAAAACGGGCTGATAAAGCAGAGGGCGACTTGAAATCGGCGAAAGATCGAGCCGCAGAAGTGAGTACAACTTCGATTATTTGTCACGATCAGCTCGTTTAGCATTAGTTGTTAACCCTTTACTTTTACTAACTACCCTCTGATCGACTTTGGACGGTTTCTGTATGGCAATTTGCTCGATATGTGTAATAAAAAGGTTTCTTTTCAACATATATTGCTCGTGTTGAAGGGTTTACTCATTGCAAACAGCCCGATTGATCAGAAATATGGCCGGCCTAAATTCCTTTGCTCGGTTCTCTATATGGAAATGCAAAATGCTCCGTTATTTGCTGACGATCTTCTGTTTTGAAGTAGAGGAGTGGTTATTTAGTCAGCTTGTCATTTGTAAGTTTTATTCATGAAAACAGATAAAGGCTTGTTCGCTTGACGCAGAGCTAATCTTTGGGTCAAATTGATCCATAATAAAGCTGTGGTCGAGTTACAGTAGTTTCCAAGCTCTTCTTTTCATCGAATATTTCACAAGTTTCACAAGGTTTTATTGCCTGTCAGTGAAGCTGTATGAAAGATTTAGTGCTGGCAATCGACAGCGATGGTATCAGTATAATCAAATTGACTTCAATATTTGGCACAGTTACAAAATATTTGACGCAATTTCTCTTCACACAAGTGTGTCTCTTCCACAAACAATGGTAATATGACGCTGAAATGGCTGCTAAATGTTCTCGATTTCATCATGACTAGATCACTAGAGTAGATCAAAACCTATCAATTGAACTGGTCAAAAGTAACTACAGATACATGTAGATAACATAAATTTATTTGGCACGTCCCACCATCTTTGAGAAATCATATACCTGTTGAATGAATAGGATGAGTCACATTTTATGAATTTATCTATTGCCAATGGAAGACAGAACTATTGATGGTGCCAGTTGAAACACGTCAAGTTCACACCAGTCAGCCAGTTTCTCAGTGAGTGAACATCTGTTGTTGTGGCAGAGAGCTGTCAGAGGAAAGAGTTTTAAGTCATGGCTGATAAAGAAAATTTTTCTTACCAAATGAATATCTCATTTTTCAAGGGAGAGCTCTTCTCTTTATCCAGAGCACCACTCTGTCCTTGCCTACAGCTTTGTTAATTTTGCAATTTCTCTTTTTCCCCTACTGTCTGTTTAGTTGTAATCAACTGATTTTTGGTTTGTATCCTAAAAATCTGATTGAAAACTCAGCTTTGTGTGATTTCACAGTCATGTTTTGGAATTATTTTCCAAATTTTAATTTTTAGACTGAACAGGAAGTATCTTCCTTAACAAAAGAGTTGCAACAGATTGAAGATGATTTGGATGCTGCAGAATCACGCCTTAGTACAATAACAGAACAACTGAAACAAGCTGAGGCACAAGCAGATGAGAGTGAAAGGTAAGATTTTTTGAGGTTAACTGAGCTAATTTTAATACCATTGGCAATTAAACTTTAACCATCCAACTCTCAGAAGTGTTAAACAATTAACTTCTCCCTACAATATCCATACATTATTTAGCAAACATGTCATGAGAATACTCAAACTTATCAGGTAGAAGTTGTTATCTTTATCCAACACCAAATTCTCATAACTGATCTACAAGGGTATGTGTAGCAGCTAGAGGAAAGAGTTAGATCTTGGGAGGGTTAGGGCATGATTGATTTAGCTTTACTTCTTCACAATGGCTCAACTACAATCCTGAACTGAACACCCAACAACCACACTTGCTTACTTACAAGTGGAGGCAAGCTCCCAGCATAGGATGATTACGATTCAGATGGTGGCTGGTGGAAGCCAAATTTATATCACCAAGTTGGATTGATTCTATCAATTTGGCCGGTGGTTTCTATATTTGCAAAATTATATTAAGTTACCTTTGTTTTTTCCCAAGAAATAGGGCTATACACATGAGATACAGGCATAATTTCTTAAGTTCAATTTGTGGAGATGTCATGTGAAGATGGGTTAGTTTCACAGGATACCCAGCCTGAGCTGTCATTATGTGCTAAGTAGCTTATCTTGTTTTTCTTTACTCTCAGAGTGAGGAAGGTTTTGGAAAACAGGGGTTTGGCTGATGAAGAGAGGGTAAGCAAGCTATGCCAGTTTCATTTGCTGGGAGCTTTCAGAAGAGGAGAGTGTAGCAAATGAGAGCACAGTAATCACTTTAAGGCACTGGTGTGCCTATATCCTATGGCCTTTAAAATCTAGTGTGCTGTTGGCCTTATACAAATTCTGTAAGCCTTAGAGTGAACCTTAATAATATGCTGTACTGAACTGCATGTTGCTGATACAGAGATCATATTGGTAGCATTATTTATCAATCTTAATGAGGCCTCTGTGATTTTAGTTTTTGGTTCAGGTGATCTGGTTGCTTAGAGGTAAATAACTGCATCCATAAACAAGATTGCAAATTCTGAATTACTTTATGAAAATAGTACTGTGAATTGTCATAATCTATTGAGTAGAAATATTGGTGGTGTACCAGTACTGTCAAAGAAGCTGGTAGGTGGCCAGACCCGCTGACTGTCAGACCATTTTGCACCATCTACTGTATGAATTGTGGTTTAAGACAGAAACTATGCATTTTTAAACTGATTCCAACATCAATGCTTGAGTAAAAGAAGGTTACTCAAATATTTCCCAGACTGTTGGAAATCACATCTTGGAGAGTTTCAAACTTCAAATTTTTTTGGGGATCATGCTCATGAACCCTACACCTTAGAAGGAAGTGTTGCTAAGCAACAGGTCATGCTTGATACATAAGCCTAATTGAATCAAGATGTGTACTCAGTTCAGATTGTATATCTATTGCATTTTCTAATTACAGTCCTGCATACAATTATATTTGTCCATGTAGAAGAGGAGAGCTTCAAAAGAGTTTTCAACAGGAACTGTATCAGGAGATTACTTTTTCAAACCATACTTAATTAAACCTCAAGTGATATTTATCTAAATGTGGTTTTACTCTTCATTTAGTCTTCCCAGTTTGAGGCCAAATTGGCTGAGGAACGAGAGAGAGCTGAAAGAGCTGAGAGAGAGTATGAAGAGGTTTGTCATTCTTAGTTTGTTATGTGGTAAAATGTTTTGACTCATTTACTCATTATGCTAGCTGTACAGTTACCTGCTCTTACTATGAATGATGATTGGTAGAATGATTAACAGAAAAGACTTGACATTGCTCAATAGTTCCTGTGTGCTTAAATGAAAGCTACCTTCAGTTGTACGAGGAATACTTTTATTTTGTGTAAATAAAAAATTGGATTGGTATTCTGGAAGCTTTTCACCATGCTTATGAAAATGGCAAAAGCCAAAATTATGGCCCTTTAAAATTGTTTTAATTGCCATTTTACTTTTCCTTCAAGATTGCTGCAAAGATAGCCGTACTGGAAAATGAATTGGAAGAAACAGAAAACAGGGCTGAGGAAGCAGAAGAGTAAGTTTGGTTTTAGTTAGTTTTTAGCGTTACAGCAAAAGGAAAAAGCCAGAATTATCACCAGAACTGCTACATTGTTACAAGTTTGTTGGATTAAGAACTCTTGTGGTGTTATAAGAAGCACATAAGGTCCATTAGGCAAAGCACATTTCCGTGTCTGCCTTAACATTCACTTACATGTTTGCTACACAAGCCAGCTCTATCTTTCAAGGGTAAAAATAAGTTTGACCACTTTTTTCCAGCAATGAGCTAACAAACCATTGATTTACTTTCAAGTAATTTGTATGCCACAGCCCAGTTTTTGTGCACCAGACCAACCTTTCAACCCTTAAGAGTGATAAGAATCCAATTTCTTACTGCATCATCACCTCTGAATTGCACGTCAAAGTCACAACAAGTTAGCTCAATAGGTTAGAGTGCTGGACTGTTGTGCGGGAGGTCAGGGGTTAGAGGCCCGGCTGGACCAACACTCAAGGTCTTAAAATAATTTAGGAGAATGTGCTACCTTTCTATAATGTCAAGAAATGGATAGACATTCTAGTCTTCTCAAATAAGGACAAATAAACCGTAGGTCCCATCTCCTGCTTCTATTAATTATTCAATTTGGTTAGGCAGGGGACATTAAAGAACCCACGCATGAGATTACTGTGATGTGGTTGGGCCTGTTTACTGGGGAATTTGGGGGGGGGGGGTCTGGCCTTGTCATTGTTAATGCCAGATCCACTGTAATAGGCTAAAGCTGTAGTGGTCTCCCTGGCTGAGATAATTAGGCAAAGCTAAATAAATTAAATTAATGATAACTTATTAAAGAAGTGTATGATTGTTGAATAAGTTCTTCTTGTCAGCTGCTTAGGAAATGTAAAGAAAAAACTGAATGAAGAATATTAAAACTGTTGTTAGGGTGTAAGAGATATTAAAACAGTTCTTACACAAGAGCTTATCCTTAAAATATGTTCCTTATGGTGTTCCAGCCAATAGTACCATTTCAAACACAATTCTGGGGTTCAAGCAAAGTGACCTTTGGCATTGTTAAACAATGTTTCAGTGTTTTTGTTTATTCTCTGTTCATGTTCATATACTCAGGCTCTTAACTTTGTTTGTAGGAGTGTTAAGACTCTGGAGGAAGAGGTCACCTTGGTTGGAAACAATTTGCGAAGTTTAGAAGTCAGTGAAGGAGAGGTGAGTGTTTAACACTTAATTTGTGAGGGCAACTTGTATTAAAAGTTAAATCACTTAAAGAGAGGAAGAGGCTGTGGCTTCATGGATAGTGTGCTGGACTCTGGGTGAAGATGTCTGGGTTCAATATCTGGCCAGGTCATCGTATTGTGTTCTATTGAGAAATACTTTACTTTCACAGTACTTCTCTCCACCCAGGTCTCGTTTGTTCAAAGGCTGGATAACGCTATCCAGTGGATAAGTGTGTATAAAACATACTATGCTGTTAGCTGGATAGCAATTTATCCAGTGGGTGGCATCAACAACCCCTCAAACAACCAAGGTCAGGAGTTAAAAATGGGAAAACTGTTAGGGAAGACTGATTAACCCTTTAACTCCCCATGATTTGATTGTTAATTTTCCTCAATATTCTCATGACCTGTTTGCTGGATAATCTAAAGTTATTTTAGTGAGAAGTCACTTGTTAATCACTTCTGGGAGAAACTGGGATAAGCTCAGACTGGATGGGTCACCTGGCTCAAGCACAGACTTTAACCATTGAAAGAAAGTTATTGAATTTTTATTGGGTAGATATACTCAAAGTTAAACAATCATTCTGGGTTTGTACATGTTGTTAATTTTTTGTTTGTCATTGTCAGGCTTCCAAACGAGAGATAGATTATGATGACAAGATCAAAAAGCTTGAATCTGAGTACAATGAGGTATAGAAAATTTCTTCTTTAATAGCTACACTTGATATGGTTCTGTTTTTCAGTATTTGTATATTGATAAATAAGACATTGTAACCTTGACAGATCCTGAATTTACAACATAAATTTTATCATTAAATCTTGAGGACTTTGTTCACTAGGCTGAAGAGAGAGCAACTCAAGCTGAGGCCAAGGTGGTAGAACTGGAGAAAGAGATTGATAACTTGGATGGTAAGAAGTTCTTTGCTTTTGTACCTATCCCTGAATTTTAAAATGATTTTTTAACTTTTTACTTTGTTTCAATTTTCTGCAGCTGAACTGGAAAGGTCCAAGGAAGAATATAACAAAGTAAAAGATGAACTAGATCAGACCATGCAAGAGTTGAACGAAATGTAAAAGCAAAACTAGTTCACAGGGAACTGTCGGGAACAATTTGCCTCTTGTGTCATCTAAACTTGTGTAAACTAGGAGTTTGGTGGTTGACAAGATGTGTTGAGTTTTTCAGTTGAATAATTTCTCTTTTAATTTAATTAGGTTTTTAGGAAAATTGAATTACATGTAACATCTATGTGAGATTAACGTATTAACGTAGCCTGCAAATACATCAACCTTTCATCTTTGTTGTTGTTGCTACTGGTGCAGTCTCTCTCAATAAACACCTGTTTTAGAACTCTATAGTTGTTAAGAAGTAGCTGTTTTCACTGGCTATGTTGAACTGCGTAGTAATTTTCCAACCTTTCTGTGGCCGATATCTTGAGGGAGGAATTTGTTTTATTATACCTTTTATTTGTAATTCATTAAGAAAGTGAACACAATGGCTAGACCTCTCAGAGGATTGGTTGTACAGTTGTGAGTGAGCCTTGGCCACTGGGAAAGGTAAAGAAAAGAGCTGACTCAGTAAGAAGGACCTTTCATCTAGATTTCTAGAGAGAAAATCAAAGAAAAATTGTCTTCATCGACCAAGAGTTCTTTGTTTCATCGAAAAAATTCCTCTGAGCTGCCATGAATTTAAATTAATGAAATTGAGACAATATGCAGTACGCACCAAACAAGCGTGACCTAACTTTTAAATATTGTGGGACACTAGCGTGACTAGTCCGCTAGAATGAGGAGCTCCCTTGCCTTGTTGATCACTGAGCACGATATAATTTTCTTTTGATGCATATTGACTGGGAAATCAGCGGTCAACTCTAAAAGTTGTTTAACAAGTTGGCTGATCAGGTTATTTTATTTTCAATTTTCTTTAGTCACTAACAATCGCTTTTTTTAAGTTGCGAGAATTAACCTTTTACAAATCAATGAAATCTTGTTATCAGTAGTATTGTGACTTTTAAGGCAAATAAAACCTGTTAAACCATTTCCAATGTTTCGGGTAAAAACTTACGCGAGATCTACCAGGATAAAGACAGTTATGATTATGATATCCCTGAGTTTGATATAGGGCTATACAGCTAGATAAGCATTCTCAATGCATGTTTTATAGGGAGCTAGCAAATACCTGTGAATAACACCCGAGTCCCCCTCGCTTGGCCTCCTCACTTAACACGCCATTAGAACGCGTTCGGCTTTTACAGGCTTCTTTTTATTACTTAACTCTTCAGACGAAAAGGTGTCTTTTGGCGAGTCCTTTCAACCCTTTCATTCCCAAAATCTATAGCACATTCTCCTGACTTGAAAACATACCCTATTTCATCGGCTATTCGTGAGAATTTAGTGTCCCATCAACCATATTCTATAAACTGCCTGTGCAAAAGCTTTGAAGGAAATTTATAAAGAGATAACTCATTCGACAATAGAGTTTTAGCCTACTATTAGCCTACTACTAGCCTACGATCTTCAGTTTGATTTCTTTCGTTTATCAGGCTTTTATTAGCAAATGCCATCTAGCCTACAGTACGATCACTTTCTCGTTCTTTAAACGTATGTATACTGTTTTATAGCGTCCTTTCATTTGATTATAACCGGAAATGACGCATTACTTTAGCCATGATTTTCTAGCTTTCAGACTGGATCGAGCTTTGGGCGCCGTTGTCTCGTGGGCGGTCATCGATTGTACCTATCCTCTCCAGAAGGGGACCTTTGAGAGGAGGAGCGCGGGCTCATTTCCCGAACTGCCGCTGTACATCGGGCCGAGATCGAGCTTCTCCGCAAAGAGTTTTGAAGACTTAAGCCTAACCTGCGGTCTGCGAACGCTTCTTTCCTCTCAAATAATGAAATAACAACTTAAATCTTCTCTCATTGATTTGAAGTGTTTTATTAATTTCAAACCTGACACAAGATTACTCTCGTTCGATATCAAGCCTGGAGAAACTAAACTATCAGAAGGTTTCTGTTTTTTAAAAAACTTAGGTTTATCGTAAGATTACGGTTAAGATGAATATTTTTTAGCTGGCAAAGCATTGAAGGTTACTTTATAAAAGATCGGAGTGTGCTGACAAAGTATGGGTCCATCACAAAACGGAGTCCTTCCTTAGGGTTGTTTTTAGCATAGAAATTGATTATTTGTTCATCGGTGTTCCCATTTTTCATCATTTTTAGGATGTTTTCTTGAATCAGATTTGCCAAGACCAGTACGTCGTCCTTTAATGTGGGGCAATGCCTTGCTTTAAGGAAAGCATTCACTTGTGCCTGGGTTTTCTTCATGGCGAATCCTGTCATGGCGTAGTAAAATGCGGTCGCGTACTTGTCGAAGTTTGCAGCGAGAGTGGCCCAGTCATTGGAGATGTCTCTAAGGGTTTCATAACTTCCAACCCTCATTCCCAGTGCAGAGAGAAGACCATCAAGAGACTTCTTCATTTTCGTCATGGCGTCATCAGCTTGTTGTCGTTTACCGTTCACTTTATGTATAGCGTCGTTCAGTTTGTTCAGCGCTGTTATTCCGGTGTACAGCGTCAAACCAAAGCCGGCCACGGCCAGGGCGGCACCTGCTGCCCCGGCTATAGCTCCTATATCAGCAACGATTCCATCGGCTGCAGCTATTCCAGCGCTGGTCAGGCCATAGGAGACAAGGCCAACCACCCCAACTGTAGTTTGTGTGATGTTTAGGGCCAGGCCAACGTCTTTGATAACTTTGCTGGGATTGCTCAGGTTCAACTGCAGTTCGTCATTAAGTTTGTTCACAACATCAGTTGGTAGTTTCCTCATGCTCTGCTTCAAATGATCGAGCCGAGTTTTAACGATCTTGTATACATTCTGGTAGAAATCGTTCGCGTGATCGATGGCGGTCTGTGCACTTTTGATGGCTGATTGCAGTTCCTTTTGCTTCTTGTCTTCTTCGACAGAGAAGGCGACGTCACTTGCTAAAGTGGCTGTAATGGCAACTGCCGCTATTGCAATACCGACACCCATGATTTACAGAACGAAGAAATGGGCTCTCCTCTCAACTCGATCGAAAGGAGCTAAATGAGTTTGTGTTGTGAGTACGTGTAGTATTAACCAGTGGTGTTGTTGTGTATTTGTTGTCATTAACACAAAGCTAGCTTTGTTCCGAGGCAATGACGACAATGAAACTCTTCAGGGAATTAACTCCAAAGAGTTCATCCGATTAGCATCAATGACCCTATTACAAAATCTTTCCTTCAAAATTTCCTTTGGTATAGTGAACTCCCCTATAATCTTAGATTTATGTTTCCTCAATTTGTCTTTATATTTTAAGACGACCATCAGACCTTCCTTGTGAATCTCAGCGTTCGCCATTTCACCTGCCTGCAATTTAAACGTGAAACTATGCAGATTCGCTTGGCGTAGATCGTGAAAATCAGTCACGCACATCCGGCGGATTGTTAGTTGTTGAAGAACCCACGCCAATTAACGTACGTACTTCTCCTTTAATGTCACAGCTTGTAAACATCAACAACTCGGTTCACAAAACAGCAGCTTTTTATGAAAACACACTTATCTGCTTTGGAAACACGCTAGGTTGTGTACCTCTTTGCCGAACAGTTTTCAAGTCTCCTCACAATTCATCTGAGGTCGTTTGCAATGGAAAGCCAGTATAATCAGTTACTTTCTCTATCGAAAACCGTCGGTGCCTTTTACGAGGATGTTTATGCCCCAGTTCTGCAGGCGTTGCCGTGGATCGACGACGGAACTGGCCTGAAGACAGCCAGCGAGAAAGTTCTTAGTAACATTACCTTTCCAACCTATGAACTTTCTAACTACAAAAACCAGAAGGCAAGTCAGCAAACAATCGCCAAATTGCGCCAACGCTGCGACGAGCTGGAGTCAATCTATCATACAATGCAAGACGAACTGCGCCCATTGCTCGAGAAACTGCCTCTAAACGATCGCAGCTGGGAAAAGTTGAAAGAAATGGTCCCAAAATGGAAAAACCTCAACAGTTCGGATGCGCTTCCCTTAAGCATGCATCAGGCTGTCGAAGAGTCATTCTTTTCCAAGAATATGTTGATGGTGATGTCTGCTACAAATTTTACAAGACCAGCTGCGCCTGCAGTTTCACCTGCTGAATCTGTGCTCGGGAAGCTGATGGCTGAAAAAATTAAGTCCATGCACGCGCAGGGAAAGAGCGATCATGATATTGCAGTGGAATTCGGTTCTCATGGACTTTGGCTGGAAAGATCTTTCCTGCACGCGATTCGATAAAAACTGTTTATTAGTCGTCTGCTATTCTCAAGTCTCGGGTCTTATAGGCAAGTGCTGATCTGTGGAACTTTTATTGAATATATTACTTGATATAATTCGATTTTGTCTGTATTACTCATTAGTTATTTTAGACCACAATAAAAGTCAGCGATGATTCAGCGTTTTCTGTTAGTATCTGTCTATTACCTTCAGTTGGTGTTAAGGGGATTGCAAATTGCCGATTGCAATGGTGTTGTGGGCGGCAGTAGCCCAATAGTCCTCTGTTTCATTCATCTCTTCCGCGCTATCAGCGCGTTTTCCTGCGTACGTGAGCTTGTTTCACAGTTCAGTGGACATTGGTTTGCAAGGACGTGCCCATGTAAGTGATTCTTCTACGTGTTCAAGCTAAAATTCTTACGGCCTAATACTTTATAATGTTCGATTTGGAAAAGTAAGCGACTATCAGCCTTGAGAGCCTCTTGGAAAGTAACTCTTTCCCTCTTAGGCGTCTAAAGAGCACTTGTAGGCGCAAAACCTCATACACAGACCTTTCATTCATATTCATCGAGCGACTTAATGAAGATCGAACAAAGCGAGACTGTTTCCCCGCAATGGAACTGGAAACTAGCCGGAAGTAAGTTGACCCATGATATCCAAGTATATGTCGTAAAAGGCGATAAAAAACGTACGGCATAGATAAGGTTGTTACTAAAGCGTTTTAATGGCTATGTCCATGGAATTAAACATTGCTCAATTTTTTTTTTCATTTTAACTTGATTGTTTATCAAAATTAGTGATTTTGATTTATCAGCAGTGAAGCACAAGCTTATTGGCAGAGACCTCAATCCCACTTCAATTCACCAAACAGGTTCATGGGAAATCAATGTTTGTATCACTGCATGGATATTCAAACTAGATGCAAGATTTTGACGTGATGCCCTTTTTTTATACTGTTTTTTTTTTAAACTTTTTTTAACTGTTAATCAGATACATACGTGTAAACTGTGTGAATGTTCTTGGGAAAATAATTATGATAAACTCATCTGCGCTATGATTTGTTAATGCATACATGTTTTTACTCTTTAATTTTAG